CATCTGCAGAAAATTAACCACCAACCCTATTTAATAGCAATAGCAATAGCACTTAGACTTATATACTGCTTCATAGTGCTTTACAGCCCTCTCTAAGCGGTTTACAGAGTCAGCATATTGCCCCCAACAATCTCGGTCCTCATTTTACCAACCTTGGAAGGATGGAAGTCTGAGTCAACCTTGAGCCGGTCAGGATTGAACTGCTGGCAGTCGGCAAAGTTAGCCTGCAATACTGCATTCTAACCACTGTGCCACCATGGCTCTTTAAGATGAGCTATCTCTTCCTGGGGAAGGAGGATACAGAGGTCTACCTGAACGGGCATGCTGAGGAATTTGCTGATTTTCTGGAAGACAAAATTGCTCAGTTTCATTCCCAGTTAGATGCCGGTGTGGTTGCTGGTCTGGTGGAGGCACCTGGGGCAGGTTCTTGCCCAGTTATCCTGAGGAAGTGGAAAGGATCCTAGGAAGTATAAGCACAAGCACCTGTGTTTTAGATCCATGCCCTTCCTGGCTTGTGAAAGCTTCCCGGGAGGTGACATGCGGGTGGGTTCTGGTGGTGATTAATGCTTTCCTGAGGGAGTGCATGGTGCCCCATTATTTTAAAGAGGCTGTGGTCCACCCTCTTCTGAAGAAGCCATTGCTAGATTCTGTCGTATTGGATAATTTTCATCCTGTCTCCAATCTTCCCTTTTCAAGGAAGTTTGTTGAGGTGGTTGTGAGGGAGCTTCAGAGGTTCCTGGATGAAGTGGGTTATCTGGACCCTTTCTAGTCAGGGTTCAGGCCTGGTTATGGGACGGAGATAGCATTGGTCAAACATTTTGATGATCTCTGGTGGGAAGAGGATGGGGGTAGTGCATCCATCCTTTCTGTACTTGACTTCTTGGTGGCCTTTGATAACATCAACCATGGTATTCTTCTGGAGCATCTTTGGGGGTTGGAAGTAGGGGCTCTGTATTGTCCTGGTTCACTTCCTTCCTCTGTGGTCACTCTCAGTCAGTGTTGATAGGAAGCAAGAGGTTCGGCCCTTATCCCCTGCTTTGTGAGGTTCCACAAGGCTCGGTAGTTTCTCAGCTTCTTTTTAACATCTACAGGAAGCTGCTAAGTGAGATCATCTGCCACCATGGGCTGAGATATCATCAATATGCTGATGATACCCAGCTATATGTCTCTGCCCATGGTGAGTTAAGCAATGCCGTGACCTCCCTCTCGCAGTGCTTAGAGGCTGTGAAGGGCTGGATAACGTGCTGAAACTGAACTCTGGAAAGATGGAATGGCTCTGCGTTTGGGGTTCTTTGGTCCATGGATAATTGCCATCTCTGGTCTTGGATGGGGTGGCACTGCCCCAGATAGACCCAGTGCATAATCTGGGGGTTCTCCTGGACTCCTGCTCGAGGAACAGGTGGCAGTCATCAGGAGGGCTTTCATGCAACTGCGTGTTGTGCACCAGTTACGTCCTTTTCTGGACCAACAATCCCTGCTCACAGCCTGTCATGCTCCCATCGGAGCCTGAATCTGCTGAGGAAAATGAGCTGGAACCGGAGCGGATGGAGGTTGAGCGAGGGGTGTCTGTGGCTTCAGAGGAATGTGGGAAAGAGCAGGCTGAGGCAGGCCAGGGCCTTTCAGGATTGGGACAGGATGAACATGAGAGACAGAGCTCAGGTGATGAGCAAGGGCCACCCTCTCCTGATCCTAGAGCACGGAGAGTAGAGAGAAGGAGGGAACAACGCAGGCAGGCTCAACTACTCGGGAGGAGAGTGCCCCGCCCCTCTCCACAAGGCACACCTGGAGACTGAGACTTAAGGAGATGCTGTTGGGAGGGGCATTTGTCGGGAACAAATGCTGAATGCTTGGAGTTTTGTGTGCCGTTGCTGATCTTGGAAACAACTCTCTGATCTCTTGTTCTGTGTTGTGATTTCTGCTTGGAAACCCTGAAACTCTGACCATTGGACTGGCTGACAAACTTGATTTGGTGTTCAAAGACCTCGGATTGAATTTTGGCTTCTCTTCTGAAACTGCTCAGGCAAGCTTGTATTTCCACAGACTCGTTAGATTTTGGATGTATTTTTCTTTCCTTGTTATTTACGTGGCCTTGAGTAAATTACTCTTCTAATCTAACTGTGTGTGAGTCGAAACCTGAATGAGGACGGCTTGTTCCATACACACACTTTCCCTGCCTGAAGAGTTAAAAACTTGTGAAACTACTTGCAGCCAGAGGCTGCTGAAGGTGTGTGTGTCTTACTTTGTTCTGCAGCTTGCCAGAAACATGGGAGCATTTGGGGAAAATTGGAGCAAATAAAGGGCGGTTTGAACTGCCAGTTGACTGTTTTGCCTCTGTGTTGTGCCCTGGGTCATCACACAGCCACACATGCCCTTGTCACCTCCTGTCTTGACTATTACAATGTACTCTACAGGGGGCTGCCCTTGAAAAGTATCCAGAAGCTTCAGTTGGTTCAAAATGCAGCAGCCCACATGGTTTTGTACAGGCCTACATCTGCACATCTGTCATTTCTCCTGCAGGAGCTGCATTGGCTTCCAATTTGCTTCTGGGTCCAATTCAAGGTGCTGGTTGTCACATTTAAAGTCCTACATGGTTTGGGACCTGGTTATTTGAAAGACTGTCTTTTCCCGGTCACATCTACCCAACCCACCAGAGCAGCAAGGCAGGGAATGCTATGGGTCCCCTCTCCTGAGGTACATCTAGCTGGACCAAGAAGAAGGGCCTTCTCTGTGGTGACTCCCTCCCTGTGGAACATCATCCCCATGAAGATAAGATTGGCCCCCACTTTGATATTCTTTTGCAAGGACCCGAAGACCTGGTTTTGCCAATGGGTCTGGGGAACCCAGAGTGGGATGGAGCCCATCAAGTGGCTTATTTGATTGACTGAATTATTGTTGCCGGGGGTGGGGTGGGGTTATTGCTTTTTATTGTTTTTATATTGGGTTTTATCATTGTAAGCTGCCCAGAATCACTGAGAGTCAGTTGGGCGGCCATATAAATTTTCTTAAATAAAATAAATGAAATAAATATTTCCCTGGCCCCTCCTTACCCAGGAATGACTGGGTCACTTTAAACAGGCTGCTGGCTAGCATTTCATGCATGAAACAAGGGCAGAAAATGTTATACTTTGCCACCCTTATCATAACAATGTAATGTTCAGAAAAGGATCTTACCCATGCTTGGTCAGGTTTATTCTTCATTTTTCTCCTGCAACACTCTAGGTCCCTTCATCACAAGAGATTCCTTTGAAAACTAGGCAACTCTCTGGGATCTACTTACATAGAGAGTCTGCACAGGTGTGATCTGATCCAAGGATGCTACTGCTCCCTTATTCCAAGTCATCCAGGAATGACCCCAATCCCCTTCTGAAACCCAGTCAGCCTGGGGCAGACTGATCAAATAGGTCCTACCTCTCTATGGTAGGATAGAGCTTCAGAGAAATCCAAGGCCAACTGGGAGTGATCTGTCCATGCCAGGGGATTCGTGGTAATACTCTCCAACTCCAGCTTACATTGCAACTGTCACAAAGATAAAGACTAGGTCCAATGTGTGACACTTCTTGGTCCATGTACTGGCACAGAGGTAACTTCAGTCAGGTCCTTGATAACCATGAACGTCCGAGCAGCCTCAGAATCTGCACCCAAAACCAGCAGATCAAAGTCTGCAATATCATAAACCTGGGTAACTCCATTGCCAACCTAGCTATGAACTCCAACAGCAAGACTGGTACATAAGCACAATTGCCTCTGATCCCTGCCACCCAACATTCACAAACAGGACTGGGTAAATGCAGAGCAGTGCCCATGAAAGCCATTAGGTTTTTCAGGTGACAATGGCTACACCACCACCTTAATCCTGTGCTCACAGCTGGTGCCACACATGAAATCCTGGAGGACAAAAAAACTGAGAAAGGCACCCTTCCCTTGGTTGATTTTGGTAATACAAAAAGTCCAGCCCTTTTATCCACAATTAAGCTGTGGAGGAGGGGAGCTTTATTATAAGCTACTCCTATGCAATAAGTAGCAACACTTGAAAACCAAGGCATTTGAGTCTTCATTACCAGATCTTGGGGTATAGCACATGAGGCTAGCAAGTGAGATTGGTACCAAACACCAAGAATGTCATCGCTGGAAGTGGCTATAATGAGCCATGGAGATGACCTTGGAGAAACCATCCAGAAGCCATTAAGAGAACAGCAAGTGCAGAAGCATGTGTTGAACCCAGGGAGGCTGGAAAGTATTAGACTTAGACTGGCTGTCCTGACTCCGAGGCTAGGAGGGAGGGAAGGAAAAACATAGGCAGACTTGTAAGATTCTGTTACTATAGCCTATCTCAATAAATACAGTTCTAGTTTTTCTGTGGAGTCAAGTTTCCTAAACTGGTCTACCCCATATGTCTGACAGTGGTCCAACCTGTTTCCTGCTGTATCTTCCCCTGCCCAACATACCTTCACCTGGCTGCAGTGCCCACCATAATATTCTTGCTTTCTCATCAAGCATTGATACATATTATTAATGTACCAATGCAAATGGCCAGTCACACTCTCTCAGTCCAACCCACCTCACTGGGTTGTTGCTGTGGGGAAAATAGGAGGAAGGTGTGTTGGATATGTTCACTGCCTTATTTGTAAAAGTAATAAAGGTGGGATATAAGTAAGTAAGTAAATAAATAAATGAATAAATAAATAAATAAATAAATATACTCTTATGTCCCAATTTTGATCATCATTGGGGATACCATGCATTCTCTTCCAGAGATTTTAAGCAGGCACCATGAGACAAAATTAATTTGCAGTGGGGAGTATAGTGTGAGCATGTTACTATCCTCATGACTTACTTGTATGCTGGCCACTGTAGAAATAGAATGTTAGGTAAGAGATAACTTTGATCTGTAGAACAGATTTTATTGTTCATGTCTATTCAAGTTTAGTATTACTTTATAATTATATGCTTGTTTTTTACATTCAAGTCACTATCAATTAGACATTGAGCAGAATTCATACCTCACATCGGAAAGGCTTCTCTCCTGAATGCTGTAGTGAATGAACCTTTAAGGACATACTGCGTTTGAAAGATTTTCCACAGGTTTCACATGTAAATGGCATGTCCTTAGTATGTGCTGAAACATCAGTCAATTAAATAAGTCAGTCATAACTAGCTTAAGCCTCAGTGGTTTCAAGAGGTACAATCTAAGCATAGATAAAGATTGGATTCAGTTGTGTTTTTATTTTATTTAAAATATTTCTGTGGGTGCCATACAATCAGATTGGTTCCTGTTGTGGTCTAAATAAACTGTAGTTAAGTTATAATATAAACAATATAATTAAAAGTAGCAGTTATCACTCAGGAAATAAAAATGCTATTTATTGTGCCTTATAATACAGAAATCTGCTTAGTACAGAATTTCTTAGAAGTTCAGCTCTACCTGAAAAGAAGTTCAACTTGGCATGGAAATGTTCTTCCTGTATCATTTAGATCTACAGAAGGGTACTTTACAATGAAGCTATCCCACATTTTACCAACGTTTTGTGCTTTAATTCTTCCAAATACAGATTCTAGTTTCAAAGGCAATTTTTTTTGATAAACTCCTGAATCTTGGCATCTGCACTCAGTTAAGATATACATCCAAGTACAGAAGTTTACTATAAAACTAGGAAGGAAAAATAACTACATGGAGTTGAACTAAGACACCACACCTTCTGTGTTGCAAATAGACTGAAGTACCATTTACCTTCTCTCAATTGAATTTAAAACAGATTTTGCACATTATAGCCCCAGATACTCTTACATTGGGCGGATTGAGATGCCAAGGTCTGGTTTTCTCCCCTTTTACTATAAAGGCTTTCTATGGCTTTATCTCATCCAGTAATGACTAATGGAGATGAATAAGGGCATAGTTATGGAGAGGTGGTTTTAAAAAACGACTAACCTATTTGTAAACAAGGAGCCACCTATAATGCTACATGGACAGTTTGTTCAACTTCAAAATCATGAATTTGAAGGAAGCACAATGTTATGCAAAAACAGGCAGCAAAAACTCACCAACCATGTGCTTTCGCACGTGAGCCATGGTGTAGAACTTCTTTTCACATATCTCACAGGAGAATTTTTTCTCTGCATATCCATGGACAATCTTGATATGTTCATGGAGGGACCAAAGCTTCTTGAATGACTTATTACAGGAAACACACTGAATGGGTGGACAGGACAAAGAATAATTTAAACAAAGTTCACTTCAGATGGTACCAGGCAGCTGTAACCAAAATGAACATCCACAAGGAAAAGATTGCAACTGTAAGTAAATTGTTTCGAGGCAAGTATTAAAATGCCACTCACTTCATTCTAATGTCACTAAAACCACAGACACAAGTTTTAAGAAAGTGAATAATCATGCGATTACAGTGCCACCTGCTGCTTCCTCAAGAGCAAATCAGCAGCAACATCCAGATTGTACCAGCCCTTCACACGGACGCACAGGTGGAATGAGCAATGATGTTGGAGAAGGATTTAGGCACAGAACTAGGCCTACCATCTTGAAAATGATATTTGATATGCAAAATAGCTCATTTGTATAGCACATCTAGGAAGTATATTGCTGTGAATATTTAGAATAAGTTACTCAGAGTGAAACAAATGTTTTTCTTATTTGGAGTGCAGGAAGTTAGACTATGGATGGGAAATAAGAGAAAATGAAATAATACATTTCCCTCTACCCAAACTCATGGCAGATCATATATAAATAAAGTAATGTGATTTTGCATTAATGACTGATTTTAGTTGGAAAGGATACTTTCTAATTCAGGTGTCTCCAACCTTTCCAGCTTTGCGGACCAGTGGGGGGGGGAGGGGATGGTTCCGCGCAAGCAGCATGCGCATGCACTTGCATTGCAAGCTCTATTTACACAAGCAGCAGGTGAGTGTGCCTGTGCTCACACAAATGGAGCTTCCTGCATGACAGCCAGCTGCTCGTGCAAATGGAGCTGCGCGCACTCACCCACTGCTTGTGCGGCCCGGTTCCACACAGGCCATGGCCCGGTACCGGGTCGTGGCCCGGGGGTTGGAGACCCCTGTTCTAATTAAGTTTCATCTTGTGTAGAATAAGACAGTGAAACAAAGCAAAACTAAAATATAAATTATGTAATTTGTATCATTCTTCAGTGCAAAAAGTCATCACTACATCTTACCATAAACTCTAGCAAACCACTTATACAACAAAGTAATGCTCACACTGTCCCCAAATTTAAATTCTGTGCCACAAAACTAGAATGTTATCATTCATTGAGGTTGTGCAAAATATATAGGAATAAGTTAGCAAACTATAATTTTATTTTTTAAAATATATTTTATTGATTTTTTAACATATTCACCTTAATATTTGGTAAACAGTGTGTTGTCTGGGTTTACATTTAAAAACAATCCATAACAATTAATTTCTATAATTCCATAATCCACATAGTAGCTTTCTTTGATTTTCTCTTCTTCCAATAATATTCTCTTTTTCCAACCTTAAATTAGTACATTTCTTAATATTTTGATAGATAACAATTGAATATAAACATTTTTCTAGCATTTAACAACCACATCAATATAAAGCTTCTTTTCTAAGTAATTATCTTAATCACCTCATCATAAATCCTGTTTTCAAAGTTCTTGTTTAGATTTGTTTTCCCCACAATGTTCAAAACATTCTTACCAGTTAAGATTTTCTCAGAGTTAATTACACTTAAGTATTAAATCTTTTTCCTCATACAAGCCATCCCAACAGTTTTACATTTCTCATATCTTAAAAAGGAAAAGAAAAAAAAAGGAAATATACTTGAAAAACATATCCCTCTTAAGCTAAAATACATTTATATCCAAAACTTTTCCATTCTTTTTAGCCATATTCAAATAAATATTTAATCTTTAAATATTCCATCTAATAAAGCATCTAATCTTTTGAATCTATTCAGAGCATTATCAATTGAGATTTTCTCAAGATTAATTACACTTAAATATCTAAAACCTTTCCCTCATATAAACCATCCCAACATTTTTATATTTCTCATATCATAAAAAAAAGAAATAAAAAAGTAAATAAAAAAATACTATGTTACTTGTCCCTCTTAAACTAAAATACATTTATATCCAGAATTTTTCTATTTTTTTAACCATCTTCAAACAAATGTTTAATCTTTAAATATTCCATCTGATAGGTCCCATCATCCAATTTCTTAATTCTAACTTTAGCCTTTTTTTTTTTGCCAAACATCTTTCCTAATCAGTATGCTCCGCTGGACCAAAAAGTCTTCCCATAGTCTTGTAGATGTTGTCGTAGGTACAAAAGACAAATCCAGTAAAATGTTTTTGTGGGTTTCGCCCCTTCGTATTCATTGAAAATCTTTTTATTTCTTTCTCTCTTAATTTCTCTTATCATTTTTTGTCTCTCAAGTTCTTGTAGTTCTCCTGACAGCTCTGTAATCCATTTTGTCGAATTTTTTTTCTTGTCCTCAGACTTATTTTGCAATCTTGAAGTGTAGGTTATCTTTTCCATGTCCAATATTTCCTGCAAGTTTTTCTCTGCCTGGGTTAAATCATAATTCCTTCCATCGTTGAGTTCCATCTTTAAATCTCTTTCCTCTGGTTTATATTCAGTTGTCTGCTTTATCTGATCGCTCTCTATTTTTATTTTCTGAGACTTTTTTTGTTGTAAGGTTAAACTGAAGAAGTGTTCATTTAAATTTTCAAAGTTGTTTTTAATTTTCTCGTGGTTTGCAATCATTGTCGTTTGAATTAGTTGCTTCATAGCATACATTTCCTCCTGGAAGGTGTTTGTTTTTTCTTGATATATTCTTTCTGCAGGTCTCTGATGTTCCATGATAGCCAAGAATCAAAGTTTTTGTTTCTCTGCAAACAGCTTTAAAGTCACAATTCTATAAGTATTTATAATCCAGTAAGGTCAATTTTTCCCCCCTAAGGTTTATAGTTCTTGCCTTGTAAATAGCCCAACATGTTTTCTTTTTGTTACAGCTGTTCTCTGTTTAGTTAAGATGTTGAAGGTCACAAAAACAAGATATTTTTTATTGGGCTTTCTGTCAGTTCCTGTATTAGAGCAACTACAGTTGTATATTTTCCTCCACCACTAGATGTCAGCACCAGTTCGTTTTTTCAATTTTCAAAACAAACAATTACTTTCTTCTGTTTTCAATAATCTTTTGAAAAGAAAATCTTAACAAATTCCACCAATTTCAAACTTATCCAGATTTAAGTCTTATATTCATTTCATTTCAATATATTTCTGTCCCCCATAAAAGTTTATTTTTTTAATAAATATTTTATTGGTTTTTAACTATAACAATCTCCAGTGCCTGGTGTACAACGTGTTGTCTTGGTTTATATTTTAACAAGAAAAAAAAGACAATAATAATTAACAATCAATAATGATTAAGTTTGATAATTCCATAATTAGTATATTAATTAATGATATATTTCTTTGATCTTCCCTTCTCCCATTTATATTCTCCTTCTTCAACCTTAACCAAAATATAATTCTTAATATTTTCAATATATAAATGATTAGATATAGGCATTTTTTATATTTATACAAATAATAATAATCTCTATGTATGACTTTTTTCAGTTTATATTATTCTTATAACCATCATCTCATTAGTTCAGCATGCATCCTATTTTCGTAAATTTGTTTACGCTTAATTTCCCTTATATTCAATCCAATTCTTATCAGTCATAATTTCTTCATATGTTAGTCATCTAACTGTCCAAATTTTCCCATTTAAGTACATCCTCCCAATATTTTATGTCATGCATTATAAAAAATACTATACTTTTTATCTATCTTATAATATCTAGGTATAACATCCTTTTTAATCAGTTTATATTTCACTTATATTAAAGTTACATCAACCTACTATTTTTACATTTCATATATTATGGAACATACTAAATTACTTAAATCTCTTATCCCTCTTATTATAGGGCCCCTTTATGTTCAAAGTTCTCTATTCTTTTAGCCATATTCAAACAAATGTTTGTTCACGTAATAGTCTATCTGGTAGGGCGAGTCAAATCTCTTGTATCTGTCTCTGGTCTTCTTTTGCGGAGTAGTTTTCCAAGTTGATGTAATCCGCTTACCCGGCGGTTCCTGTGTTTTTGCAAATGTTGTTGGGAATACAAAAGATGAAGTAAATAAGATGAATACTTTCTGTCTCCCAAACTTTGATGGTTCTCCTGGTAATTCTATAGTCCATTCCATTTTTCTTGTTGTATCAGAATCTTGTAGATTTTTTCCTGTTTGTGTTAAATTGTAATTCTTTTCATTTGTTATTTCATCAATTTGATCATATTCTTCTAATTTGTGGTCTGTTATCTGATTTATTTGTTCATTCATTGTTATTTCCTGGGTGTTTTTTAATTGTAGATTTAGATTGGAAATATGCTTATTTAAACCATCAAAGTTGTTTCGAATTTCCTTGTGGTTTGAGTCTATTGTCATTTGTATTTGTCCTAACATTACATATATTTCCTCCTGGAAAGTGTTTATCTTGCCTTGAAGTATTACTTCTGGAGGCCCTTGATTTTCCAGGCTAAGTCCTTCAGGAGAAAATATTGAATGTGGCGTCCTGTCATTTTTTGATACGTATGTGATATCCATGTTGTCTCCCCCCTTCAAATAATCTTTCATCAATGTTTTAATTCAAAGTCAATTTATCAGTCAGTCAAAATTACAGTTCAGTATGTTAAGCCACTTTAAATCCTTCCTGTAGATTCTCCTCCAAAAGATTAGCCAAAAGCCAAGGTTTTTCTTTTCCATAAACAGTTCTTAGATTTAAGCAACAGTCTAGGTCAGGGGTGTCCAAACTTTTTTCAAAGAGGGCCAGATTGGATGAAGTGAACGTGCTGGAGGGCCGAACATTTTTCCGAACATTCTTTGAACCATTACAATTAAATGCAAATGAATTATTTTATGCCAAGTTAATTGCAAATGGCATACTTTTCATTTCATAACATTAAGATCAACTGACAGCTGAGTTTTCACAATGTA